TATATATATATATATTTACAGTGGGGCAAAAAAATGTATTTAGTCAGGCACTGATTGTGCAAGTTCTACTTAGAAAGATGAGACAGGTCTGTAATTTTCATCATAGGTACACTTCAACTATGAGAGACGAAATGAGGAAAATAATTCAGGAAATCATATTGTAGGATTTTTAAATAATTTATTTGTAAACTATGGTGGAAAATAAGTATTTGGTCAATAACAAAATTTCAACTCAATACTTTGTAACATAACCTTTGTTTGCAATGACAGAGGTCAAACGTTTCCTGTAAGTCTTCACCAGGTTTGCACACAGTGCAGCTGGTATTTAGGACCATTCCTCCATGCAAATCCCCTCTAGAGCAGTGATGTTTTGGGACTGTCGCTAGGCAACACGGGCTTTCAACTCCCTCCACAAATTTTCTCTGGGGTTGAGGTCTTGAGACTGGCTAGACCACTCTAGAATCTTGAAATGCTTTTTACGGAGCCACTCCTTCGTTGCCTGAGTGGTGTGTTTGGGATCATTGTCATGCTGGAAGATGCAGCCACGTTCCATCGTCAATGCTCTCACTGATAGAAGGAGGTTTTGGCTTAAAATCCCATGATACATGACCCCGTTCATTCTTCCCTTTACACGGATCAGTCGTCCTGTCCCCTTTGCACAAAAACAGCCCCAAAGCATGATGTTTCCACACCCATGCATCACAGTAGGTATGGTGTTCTTGGGATGCAACTGAGCATTCTTCTTTCTCCAAACATGACGAGTTGAGTTTTTACCAAAAAGTTCTATTTTGGTTTCATCTGACCACATGATATTCTTCCAATCCTCTTCTGGATCATCCATATGCTCTCTGACAAACTTCAGACGGGCCTGGACATGCGCTGGCTTGTGCAGGGGGACACGCCTGGCACTGCAGGATTTGAATCCCTCTCAGCATAGTGTGTTACTGATGGTGTTACTTTGGTCCCAGCTCTCTGCAGGTCATTCATCAGGTCCCTCTGTGTAGTTCTGGGATTTTGTATGTAAACTGGCCATCCCTAAGTTTTCTAGTTTTTATAATGATTAAAAGTATAGTTTCTGGGGTGACCAAAGATTTATCTATAGTGGTTAAGGCCACCGTTGGGCACCCCTGGCTTTGCCATTGCAACTGGTGGGGGATAAAATTGCTCCTTCCACTCATCATCACTCCGCGCTACCTCATACAAGCAAAAAAAAAACCTAACAAACAAATAAAACCTACCTACTGTTATACACAGTTTAACTTCTTCCCACTTGAATATATTGCACCAACAACATGAAGCTTTACTTGCATTCCCTGTTCAAATAAGTTCAGAAAAACACTCAAAAACTACAAACATTCACTCTCCAAATCCCTCAGCGATAGGGGACATCCGTGTACCGTTTGTTAGTTATAATGTAACTGAATAAAATCCACTTTTGTTGTGCTCCATGTTCACATCATCATTCTGCGCTCTGACAGCAGCATCATTTCCTTTTTGATGTAAACGTTTTATGTGCTTTTTGTCATCATCGCTCACCATGATGGGAACAGCTGTTTGTAACAATGAGTCCAGTGATGTGACTATATTTGAGCAGTATTTCACGCAGCTGCATGAATCAGTAAAGTAGGTGCAGCGGATGTCGGAGACGAATTGCTCTGCATTTCTTCTTATGATTCTGTAACATCAGTGAGGCTCAAAGCTGGACAGAGTCCAGCTCAAAAGAAGCCAAAGTATTTCTTGAAGGGACACGTTTTCAGTAAAGAAGCGTTAAGCTTAAAGCAAGGTTTCTGTATTTTGCTTTCAACACTACCCTGAACTATGCTTGCTACTTTTGCTGTGCATGAGACTCATAAAAAGACAGTTGTCCTGTTTTTATCATATTTCAAAATGTTGTGAAAATGTTTTTTTGTTTTTTTTAATCCTGTGTCCAGCAGGGATAAAATACTATTTCTAAATAGTCTGAGTCAACATGGTGGCTCACAAACGTCAGAGCACACAAATATTACTGTCAGCCACAGCCTTGGCATGCATAAATGAATTTGGTAATATACAGAAGTGTTGACTATGAAGAAAGTGAGGGCAAAAGTGGAGACGACAGGAGCCAGATGGAGATGTTCAAAGACCAAAGAGGAGGAGGGAGAGAAGGAAGCAGAGCATCCCACACAGGAAAGCTGCAGCAGCTGGATGGAGAAGGGGCTTAAAACAAATCATAAAAAGTTAAACTCAAGTTCTGGATTAAGCTTCTGCATTTAGATAAGGGTTTTAATAATTAAGATAATACAGTGCTGATATTATAAAATTGACTTTTTGTTTAAGAAAAAAGAAGCATGACAAAATAAAAGATAGTTGCAGGTGTTTGGAATTGAGATAATGAGTGTGTGTGTGTGTGTGTGTGTGTGTGTGTGTGTGTGTGTGTGTGTGTGTGTGTGTGTGTGTGTGTGTGTATCCAGACCATTATTTCCTAATTGCATCTGTAATTAAGGTTCGTTTGCAGAGTAGCAATTGTTCTCTGTGCCATGTTCAGATGCATCTTGCCCAAAGAAGAAGGGAAAAAAGCTGCATGTATACAAACAACCACAAAATTAGAAGCCAAGTACAGTAGATCGACTTTGCTTGCCTCTTTGTAGTGGTTAGAGAACAGTTGTTGTTTCTAGGTGTAATAAGGATGTTCAAAAGGCAGTGCAATCCTTTTTTTTATCTAAAAGTTTAAGAACAGGAATAGCTTAGAAATTGTTCAGATCAGGCTTTTAAGCAATATTTTCAGGATGAAAGGCTCTGAGAAAATGGAAAAAACAACCACTTCTGTGTACAAGATACAAGCCAAAGTGTTCACTTGTAAGAGGACAAAGATAAACAGATGATCAATAAATAATTTCTTCCAGCCGACACTCGGACAGTAGCAAGAAAGTACCAGATAAAGTGATGAAGTATAAAGATTGAAGTGGTTGTTGTGTGTTGGCAGAGCTCATTTGGAGGCGAGTGCTGAGCGCTGGTCACGCCTCCTGGGCCTCCTGGAGGAGCTGTGGCGGTGGATCTGCGCGAAGGACGAGGAGCTGGCCAAGCAGATGCCCATCGGGGGGGATGTGCCCACTTTACTACAGCAGCAGAACCACTGCGCGGTAAGTCACTGCTGTCACATGCTCCTCTCACACTGAGCGAGATTCATCATTCTTTTTTTATTGCCTGATTCTGAAACGCAAAAAGTGACATAAGTGATATTTTTGCCTGGAGTCAACCCAATTCAACATGGCTGCTGCAGCCAGCTGACCGCAAAGAAACTAAAATTGGCCAGAACTCAACTTTACAGCTATTGACCTAAAATTTAGTGTGGTAGTAACTGAGACTGACCCCCCAACACATTTTCAGTGCTAACATATATTATTTAAAGTTTGGCACTAACTCTTGTCTGCCTATTAGCGAAATATCTAATGAAACCCTAGACAGATTTAACGAAACTTTCAGGAAATCATTTGATGTACCTCCACAACTGATGACCTTTTAGGGTCAAGATTCAAGATGGCTGCCATAGCCAACTGACCCTAGAAAACCCCAAAATGGCTATAATTTATTACATTTTACAGATAATGATGTAAAATTTGGCATGCTTATATTTGAGTCATGAGTGCTACTCATTGTGTGAGAACGTTGCTTAAAAACTTTGGCAATGGCTGTTAGTCAGCCATGTTTATTCGTTAGCAAAATATCTCATGAACTACAGATTTGAATGAAATTTTCAGAAAATAAACATTTGATTTGCATCTGCAACCAGTTTTTTGGGGAGCCGGTCCAATTCCAAGTGGCCACCACAGCTAATTAATATTATCCAAAACAAAAATGGCTATAATTAAGTAGATTTTTACAGATATTGAGCTAAAATATGTTGTGCTATTAGCTAAAAGTCATTCAACGTATATTCTGAGTTACATCTCACACTATCACATGTGTGTACTGTCATTTTTATAGTTTAACCAAAACAAATACAACTTTATTCTCAATAAAAGATGGTCTTAGTTTCAAAATCAAACCAAGTTTAAATTGTTAATCTATATAGTTTAACACAGTTTGCGGTCTTGTTTGTAATTAATATTTATAAGTTCGCATTTAAGCCATTTAGAAGATTCTCTGCTCTCATTACTTAGTAGCTTTTAACATCTGAGCTCATCTTTGTATATTCTCAGTAGGATTGCATTTATCCAGTGCAGGTGTCTTAAACCCCCAGAAAATAGCAGAATCACATTTGTAGGTTAGCAGGTCTGCATAATTGGAAAGCTTATCTAGAGCACGTTCATCACATTTCTGTTATTTTGAACCTGGGCCCCATTTTTTCGCTTTTAGGTTCTAAATTTTTAATTGACCCAAATCTTTTGGGACTCAAAATATCGAAGAAAGGAAGTCATAACTGGCTGCCGTAAAGAAAAGAAAAGCCCGTGGGGAAATTCTCTTCAGCGAAGTAGAAGTGCTTGTTTTTGTGTTTTTAGGCCTCTGACAGGCTCAGATTGCCGTGCGACTGGAAGTAAACACAAATTAGCTGCCTGAAACGGTCAACACGGGTGTCACTGACTCGTAACTCTGCTGAAACCACAAGAAAACCCTCTCATCTGAGGAACAGTCATCGTGCTCACCCCATCATCAGCCTGCCTAGTCATACGTGCTGCCTAAACACAATAAATGTGTTTAACTTGTAACAATTTAAATTTAAATACCAATATTATTTATTAACACAATCTTATAAGTATTCCTTGCCCCTCTAACACCTCTCTGAGTCATATATTCTGAGCACGTAATGAATACTTTTAATCTTCTGACCTATGTATACCGTTGCAATGAGCTCTTTTTAAATTCCCCATTGTATTTATTGTAAGCACTGGTTATTGTTATAGCACCGTATGTGTAACTGAGTTCAGGAAAAGCCTTTATTTCATTTTGCATCATGACTCAGGCCACCCTGGATGATATGTACCCCTATAAACCAAAAATGTCAAGAAATGTGGGGCACATACTGAGACAGATTAGTTCTAGAAAACAAGTAGACAGTGTCCCATCCCATGCCTGTAATCAGTGCATTACTTAATATTTAAAGCAGGACTTAATGCGTCTTTGTGCATGCTGTGTGCGCTTTAATAAGTTGTGGTGACCATCTTGAATCAGCTTGACTTTGAGAGATAATCTATTTTATATCCAGGTTCAAGTTGGACTTTATTGTCATTCGCATCACATGTGATACATGAGGTGGAACGAAATTGTGTACTCAAGTTACACCCAAAATTAGCAATAATATAAACTATAAAAAGAAACCGTATACATGGATCTAAGATATACGCTAAACAAAAATAAGATAATATTATACGGCGTATTAAACAGCAGCCTGAACATGAGTCTGTTGTGAGCAGATGGGTATGAATATAGCAGCTATTCAATAATAAGCTGTTCATTGGATCGTGGGATACTTTACTAACAGACAAATGAACACATTCAGTCACTTAAATAATTACCTGCCTTGCATGGCATTGAGCAAAAAGAAAAAAAAAACAGGCTCAATGTAATGGGGCAAATTGCACACTTAAAAAAACTTGATTGATTTAGGAATTCAAAAAACTCATCTCAGGTCTAAAAAGAATTTTAAAACTAATAGTCAGTAGATCAATGTGCTTCGTTCATTCTTTTCTTAAAGGTGAGCTATGAAGAGAAAGATAATTGATGTCTTGTAGACTGTTTGCTCTTCTGGCAGTGGGTGATCAATTTCTTAGCTTCTGTAATATCTTCCAAGTATAGTGTCTTGATGGATTCATTAGGAATCATTAGTTAAAGACCAAATGTACAAAGAAGGATGGCAGCTATAGTGAGGTCAGACATTGCATAGTTTGTGTGAGGGAGCTACAAATGTTCAGGATTGTTTTGCGAGGAGAAAATGCACCCTGACATTTGTGTAAAGAACTGGGACTGTTCATTCTGATGGTTAAGACCTGCAATCAATGGGTCAGTGAAGCAGCTTTATTTCTCTTTTTGTTTTCATCTTCCCGACAAAGAGCCACAGTCCAGGCTAATCAAAATGTGTCCTTGTAGGCGAGACAACGTTGAGGCTTGTCCAGTCGTCTCTCAGAGCATCTACAGATCAGAGGTGTTGTTTATTGAAAACGTCTGAGAGCACATATTGACCACACACTTCGATTTTTATTTTCACTTTCACCTTTTTTTCCATTACCTTTTCAGTTTTTTTTTCTTCCTGCTGTTCTTTCCAGCTATTTTCTTTTTTTTTTTTTTGTCTCTTATTTTCACTCTCCATTTCTCCTATTTTTTCCTTCTGACTTCGTCCTCATTCTGCTGTTCATCAGCCTCGAGAATGCTGAAATTGGGAAATATTAGAGTAGGGAAGTCGAAAGTGCTGAAGGATCCATTTCTCATTTTCTCTGTTATATTCCCTCCCCTCTGTATTCCTAATGGACTAGCCTTGAGGTCTCGTTGACCCTGAGAAGGATGAGGAGGTCTGAGCAGAACAAAGAGCTCCGGCTTTAGGCAGGTCATGCTCTATTACTCACTCGCACTGACAGAGACAAACTTAAGACACAGCTGTGCCCAAAAATACACACCGTTATTCAGCAACTCGCCTGCTGCTCTGTCGCTAAAAGGAATAAAGCGTGAATAAATGTATGGTAAATAACACTGCTGAGGTCACAAACAAAGGCTTTGAATGTCCAAGTGGAAAAAAAAGATCTATATATATATAAATAAAAATGTTTTCCCTCTTTTTTTATTTTTATTTTGAAAGGCTTTAAGAGATAAGAGGAAGGTTAAGCCACTTAGCCCAGCAGAGGGCAACGGATATTGCTGGTATTAAAGAGTTGAAGAAAAGAAAAGTCCAAGGGAGCAGCAGTCTAGACTGAAAGAGAGGAAAGTATGGTCAGAGAGTGGAAAACAAAAGGACAATTAGATGAGAAGAATAAAGGTCCGTTGACATGTAAAAAGGACAAACATGATTTTAATTGATAGTCATTGTAATCAGTCGCAAATACACACACATACATTGATTCGTGTCTGTTTTTCCTCTGCTAAAATGGCTGCAACAGCATTTATTAATTGCATATTCAATTATCCAGTAACGGCTCTTTGTCAGCGGCTGATTGGACTCATCAGTTTCCTTTATGAAATTCATAGTTTATAGATAAAGGACTGGGGAAGGCTTGGGTGCTTTTTTTTAATGGCTCATATTTCAGTTGTGTTCATCAGAAAAGTCCAGTCTGGTTCTTTTAAATGATCCTTTACTGTGTTTCAGATTAATCAAAAGCAAAGGCAAACATGTGATAGACTTGTTACAAGGTGCTTGTTTTCTTAGTGGACTCCGTATGATTAAGTATCCTATAAATGCACAGTTGGAAGCGAGTAAGGGCTAAAAATCTGGATGAAACCCAGTCTTAATCATTGTGTCTGTATGACTGATTAGAGCCACTTGAATACACTTGAATGGACAGAATTACAGAAGCCCAGAATGGATTAAGGTTCTCCTCTGGTCTCCTGGGGAGGGGAAAAAAACTTTATCTAATTCAGTTCATTTATTATCTTTTTTTTTTTGTCTCAACATTGGTATGCCAGTTTGTATACCTACAATGCAGTCAAAGCATTCACCAGCACAGCAGCTCAGCAGTAAAATAAATAAATAAAGACTACAAGGTTAAAGCTTCAATAATTGGTTTATTCTTATTTTGTAATGATTTTTGTCACATTTTGTAAACCTGTGTTCTGGTTGATTGGTTTGGTCCTTTTGGATGTTTGGCTTCACCCACGCAGATGTGAACACTGCTCACACTTCAGCTTCTGCCTCTCCTGCAGATAGACCAAATACATAATTATCTTCTGAACATAAAGAAGCCTTTTCAGTTTAATAGTGTGAATGTTCATGAAGTATTCACACTATTGTAATCCATTTTTCTTCCGTATGTTTTAAGACATCTTTCTCGTTCCACAATTTTTGTGCTATTTTAATAGATCATAAATCAAAATGTTCAGCTCGTTCAGGAGAAGAGAGCTTTGACTTTTGGTATTAGTGCAACTTTAGCTTTTTGAAATATTTAGCCTTTTCTGCCATATTTTTTCTTATAGAAAATTAATTGAGTGCATTTTCCGT